CCCGCCGCCCAGAGGAGCCGGTCCTGCTGGCGGAGCTGAAGCCGGGCCGTCCCCAGCGGTACGACTGGAAATCCAGCTGCGAGACCTGGAGCGTGGCCTTCTCCCCCGAAGGCGCCTGGTTCGCCTGGTCGCAGGGACACTGCGTGGTCAAGCTGATCCCCTGGCCCCTGGAGGAGGCCGAGCTGTGAGTATGGGGGGCGGCTGGATGGAGACGGGGTGCACGGAGCCGGGATGGGGGATCCTGGGGGGCCAGGCTGCCCTGGGGGTAATCGTGCATGCCTCCTTTCTCTCAGCAGCTGCAAAACCTCAGAGCGCAAGAGCCGTGGCAGCAAAGTGGAGGCAAGGAGCCGAGGGGTGGCCAAGGAGAAGACGCTTGAGTGCGGCCAGATCGTGTGGGGCCTCGCCTTCAGCGCCTGGCCGGCGGCAGAGGCGGGGCAGACAGACCCCACCTGCGCCGTGGGTCTTCCCTGCCTGATCCTGGCCACCGGGCTCAACGACGGGCAGATCAAGGTCTGGGAGGTGCAGACAGGTGAGTGGCCCTTGCCAACGGTGGGAGCAGTCACAATTTCAGGCTCGTGTCTTGCTCGCCTTTGGAAGGAGATCCGATCTCCATCCTTCCCCAAATACTTCCCCGGGGTGAGCGGAAGCCTCTGCCCTCTCCCAAGAGGGGCTGCCTGCACGTGAGGAGCACTGCCTCATTCTCCGTTGAGGGACAGTGCTGAGCACGGCTCCTCTCCACAGGACACCTCCTCTTCAGCCTCTTGGGGCACCAGGATGTCGTCAGAGACCTGAGCTTCGCTCCCAATGGAAGCCTCATCCTTGTGTCGGCCTCGCGGGATAAGACTTTGCGCATCTGGGACCTGAGCAGAGATGGTAGGAGTGTGCGGGGATGTCCCCGGTGCTAGCTCACCCCTGGCTGAGGCTGGGCTCTGCTGCAGGAAAGGGGGGAGAAACCCGCCTCAGTAGGGGAGATGGTGGGAGAGGATATTTGGGGACAGTGTTCAAGGCAGCAGCGTAGAGTCCTACGATATGGAGCAGAACCATCCTCTTCCAGGTGGGGGCTGGGAGGTGCAGGAGGGGGTTGCAAGTAGACAGAGCTTGGGATCTGCCCATGGGAACCCTCCAGCCCCACTTGCATTCCCTCTCGGGAAAGGGAGGGGAGGGCAGGGGCAGGGCCCAGCGCTGCCCCTTGTGCTTCCCTCTCGTGACTCACATGCCTGCTGTCACCAGGGCGGCAGGTCCAGGTGCTGTCGGGCCACGTGCAGTGGGTCTACTGCTGCTCCATCTCCCCAGACTGCAGCATGCTCTGCTCCGCTGCCGGAGAGAAG